GAAGCTCGGTGCCAGGAGGAGGGGCATGAGGGTCCCTCCCCAGCAGGAGGGGTGTCGTGCTGTGTTTCCATTCCTGGCCCTGGTGAGGAGGGCTCCAGCTCCCAGAAGGTCCCAACACAAACCCTGGGGGCCACGGGAGAGTGAGCAGCATCACGGACTTGGCTTCCTCCCAGGCTGACAGAAAGGTCTAGAATCTTCCGGAAACACCACACCCTGGGCGTGCAGCTCAGGGCCAAGCCTCCTCTGGAAAAGCCTAATGGTCACCCAGGGAGAAAGCAATCACCGTGGCAGCATTTGCCAAAAGAGCTGAATTTCCTGAGGAATTTCCAGTCATGGTCCCTGGTGGTCTCTGGCTCCTGTGCTCAGAGATCGCAGAGACCGGAGGGCGTAGAAACCCCAGGGAGGGCAGGAACGCGGGGGTGGTTTGGACATCGGTCTGGGCTGACCCACGTTAACAGTTTCAAAGCAGCGTGAGCAAGGAGTTCCATGAAATTGTGAAGTGGGCTCTCCCTCTTCATGAGGATGTGGAGACTCAGCAGGGGGCCATCTCCATCAGTCTGACCTTCGGGTGCATTCCTTGTCCCCCTCCCACCTCATGGTGCCTGGTACTGTCCCCTGGGCTGCACGTGATGGACCAGGGGCACATCAGCTCCCAACAGGGCCAATTAGATTCTCTGTCCAGGAATCAGAACTGGGAGGTGCCCGGACACAGCCTGAACTGGTCCGTGGTTCTAGGGGGATATGAAGTCATGCTGGGGGGATGGTCATGTCCACAGGGAGTGGGCAAGACCTGGCCACAGAGGGAAGAGGAAGGGACCCCAAATCAGTGCAGTGAGAGATGCTCACAAAGGACTACTAGGATGCCTGACCTCCTCCAGGGCTAATTCAAGTTCTCCGAGGGTCCTGACTGTCCTTGGATTCCACAGCAGGCTACCGTCCTTCCAGAAGCTTCCTCCACTGCGTACAATAACTTGAGTATATTTCTTCTACAACTTCAGTCGGTCAAGATCTCTTGCCGCAGATCTCCCCACCGGCGGGGCCCCCAGAGGGTTGCCCACCAGCAGAAGACGTGGCGCTCACCCCATGCCCTTCCTCGGCCGCAAGTCAAGCAGACCCATCGCATTCGGAACCCCAGAGGATGCCATGACTGGCACCTGTTACCCAGGAGTGTCACCGTCTTTCCTGACCTTTTGGTTCCTCTTTCTAAGCCACGGCCATCGCAAAATGGCACAGCCCCACGTCTCCTTGTCTCCAACTGTTAGCTTAGCGGTCTTCCATGCACATGAGGGCTCAGGGACACTCTAGCTGCTGAGTGGGTGCGGCGGGAACAGGGAAGCTGGAACTTGATGTCCAGCCCAAGAGCTTCTGAGGAAAACAGCTGGTCAGCTGGTGAAGATGTTGGTGTGAGTCCAAGACCCACCAGCCCTGGGGCAGCCGCACTGAGATAGGAAAGGAAGACCTGGTCTGTGGTCTGTGCTCTGAGTTGTGAAACCCTTTGGGACTGTCTGTGTGACCCACCCCCTCCCGGTGCTGAGACAGCGGGTCGGCAGAGGGCTGGAAGCTCTCGCTGGAGACCAGGCCTGCGTGCTCCCGCTTCCAGGCTGGGCCGCCTTCGAACCAGAAAGACCTTTTCCTTGGTCTCCAATGCTCTGTGACTTGACTCCTTCGTGACCAGCAAACAGGATCCCTTACTAGGATTTCCAAGGACCTAAACAGCTTCTCGTCTGGGGAGGGCTCCTGGGTGCATCTTGGCCCTTTCCCATGTTCAGAGCTTCTCAGGAACCCACATTCCCCATGACACATCAACTTACTTGAATCCAAATATCACTTTCTGGAAATTGGATTCTAAGATTGCACAGTGATGGAGAATGGTTGATCAAGATCGAAATTCTCTCTTGTTTCAGTTTGTTGGCTCTACTGACAATAATATTAACTAAATCTTACTATGTGCCAGACCCTGTTCTAAATTTCCACTAATTAATGTATGCCTTTAAACCTTTTAATGTTTTAAAGGCAGCCCATGGGGAGAAAGGAGCCATTGTCATTCCCCCTCATTTTACACATGGGGAGCTGAGCACAGGCCAGCAGCTTGGAAGTGGAGGAGCTGGGTTGGGGTCCCAGCCAGACTGGTGCCAAATTGTGGCACCAGCCAGCAAGTTACAGACTCAGCCTGCCCCTTCAGAGCCTGGGAGGCAGTTGTCACTCAGAGAGGTCAGGTGACTTGAGCAAAGACACACACAGCTGGTGCGTGGTGGCGTCGGGGTTGGAACTCCTCCGTGGACATGAGGAGTTGGTGGTCATTCCACTGGACTGCCTAGTGTGGCTCCCGAAGAGGGAGGGATTGATTACCTTTCATCGAGCATCTGCAAATTCCACGTTATCTTGTCTGCAGATCCTTTGATCTTCAGCTGTTGAGCAAGGTGATCTATGTGTGCTCTCCCTGACCCTCTGCAGGCGCTGTGATTCAGGAGGAGTGCGGCAGAGGTGATGTTCTCTGATTTCCAGTGTCAGAACACAAAAGGCCTTGCACCTTCCACCCGTTTCTCTTGGGAGCCTTGCAGTGGGGGAAGTAAATTTCTGACTACTCCAAGATGGCCTTCCAGGAAAAACCAAGTGGGGACAGATCAGTTGAGACGTCCCGCTGAGCTCCTGCCACGTGGGTGACAGCTTGGATGTCCAGCCCCGCCAAGCTCTCAGATGCTGCTGCCCCAGCCAATGTCTGGCGGCAACCACACGAGAGACCCCTAAGGAAGAACCATGCAACCCGGCCCTTCCCAGACGACCGGCTTGCAAAACTATGAGCAAAATACAGTGGTGGTTTTAAGCCACTGTGTTTTGGGTGACGTGTTACACGGCAACAGTAACCGTAATGTCCCAGCTGAGAAGTGTTTACCAGACGAGAATGTTTGGATCCACTCTGCAGCAAACCCAGACTCCCTAATCCCCTCGGGTCCCCTGGGTTAGAGGCCAAGGTCACGGGCTGTGGTCTTGCACTGCTTGAGTTGGAGTCCCACCCCCAGCACTCAATAGCCAGGTGACCCTGGGCAAGTGCCCTTACCTACCTGAGCCTCAGTTTCCCCATCTATAAAACAAGGCCAACTGAAATCCCTCTGCTCATCAGGTTGTGGGTGGGTCATAGGCGGATGCCAGGGAAGCCCTGGGCACAGGGCCCGGCACGTGGGAGTGCTTGCTGGATGTTTAAGTACCAACCGCCTTCCCGCCATGGGAAACCTGTTTCTGTTCAGGTTTCCTTCCTCTCCGCTAGGGCGGGGACCCAGTTTCTTCCACTCCCCTGTACCCAAAGTTTGTCGGTGCACAGGCAGCAGCAGCCAAGTGAACGAGAACATGAGTTCAAACCCCAGGCCCTCCTCTCGGGAGCCGTGTGGTTTCTGGAAACTGTTTGCACTGCATGCCCAGTGTCCTGATGATAACATCACCAGCCTGGGGGTGTGGGTGGGGGTTGGGGGGGAGTTGCCGGGGTAATGCTTGTGAGGCCTGCTGCCCGAGGAGCCTCTCTTCTCCCTTTGGGTTTGTCCTTTGTCAGTGGGGAACTTGTTCCAGCCGGGTTTGCTCACCGCTGGATACGCCAGTGCTTGCAACAGAGCCTGGCACACAGTAGGCGTTTAATAAGTACCACATGAATGTGGAGCTGGCACGATGCTTCAAAAGGAGGAGTAGGAAAGGGAAGGGACAGAGAGAACAGACGGTGGCCGGGTCACTTTTTATTGGCATTTGAGCTGCACCAAAAACCCTGGCAAGCGTTTGGACTTTCTGAACCTGAGCCACGCAGGCCCCGCCCACTCGCTCTCGGTCTGCTTCCCCATGTGCTCTGACCCTTCTGGATGCCCCCATGCTTGAGCTCCCAGAGGGGCCCTGCCCGCACTGCAGAGTGCAGGGACTGGTGCCGAGTGACCCGGTCGGAGAGTGCGGAAGGAGCAAGACATGATTCCCGGTCTTTATGCAGGGACGCGCCCCGTGAGGACGGGCGGGGTCCTCCTGCCCTTGTCCTCACGCAGTGGGTCCACACTCTCCTCTAGTCCTTCACTCCCCCCAGCCTTGCTTTCTTCGCTTGCCAGCAAGCGCCTTAGGTTTACGTGTTTCAAAGACAGTGCTTTCTGGCTCTAAATTGATTCATATTTACTTGTGCAGATTAAGGATGTTAAATGCCTGTGGGCAAAATGTAGCTAGATTAAGGTTGCTGCTCCCCCGGCTGTGGGACTGGCGACACTTTGTTCTCCAGGCCTCAGGTGACTGATCTGTGAAATGGGATCACTTACCCCAGAGCAGATTCCTTTGGACGTTTATGGGGATGGTGGAGGGCAAGCGCCTAGGCTGTAGCATGGTTTTGTCGTTGGCACATTGGGAATGCGTGTATGTGTGTGTGCATGTGTGTGTGTGTGTGTGTGTGTGAGTGTGTATGCGTGTGAGACGAGCGGGGTTTTATACCACCGTGCAGAGGATGGGAGTAAATAGAGCACGTGTGTATTCTGTGCCACAGTTTACAGAACCCACACCCTTCCCGGTTTTATTTGCTACAGTCCCGCGAGGTCACTTCCCTAGTCGCACTTTCCATTTGAGGTAGAGAGAGATGGGATTTGGTAAATTTGCAAACCCCCGGTGGAAAGTGCTTGGCACGTCGCCGGGCGCACTGCAAGCGCTCGGTGGAAAGGATAGTTCCAGGGTCCTGGCGAGGAAGCGGAGCGCGTCCTCTTCTCAAGCCCAGATCTAGGGACGCTCTGGTCCAGCCCTCCGCCCGCCGGGATCCCCGGCGCCCGCGGGAGGGGTGGGGGGCGGGGCTACATTTCCGCCGCCCTATCAGCGCCGCCGGCCTCGGGGGGGGCGGGGCGCGGAGGTGCTATAAGAGGCTGCGCGCGGGGCCCCTCCATCCACTGCATCCCTCCGCTGCCCGGTGTGCGGAGCCCGCGACCCACCCGCTGTGGACGGTGTCCGCTGTGCTGACCCGCTGTGCCGGCCCGCTGTGCCGACCGTGTCCGCCCTGTGCGCGCTGCTGCCGCTGCACGACCCGGGAGAGACGCCGGCGCGGTGGTGATTGGAGAGGCGCGCGGAGGTAAGTGACTTCCCTTCCTCTCCTCTCTAGGCTGCGGTTCACTCCGCTAACCTCGGAGGACCTGAATGAACCCGAGCAGATACCATCTCCTGGGGCTCCCTGTGCACAGGCACTATGCTGGGCGCGCTCCCTGTGGAGAAACTGAGGCTCAGCGAGACCAAGCCACTTGCTCTATATGACCTTACAGCCAGGGAGCAAGGGAGCTGGGACTCAAAGCCGGTGTGACTGCAGGATCCTGCTCCTTGAGCCTGGGTACCCTGACCTCCCTTCTGCAGTTCGCTAGCATCTGTTGCATTCCTGTGTACACAGTGGGCGTCAATAAATGGAAAACTGACGGCGCGAATGTGGCGAGGGGTTGAATGTGTCTCTCCACGTGTGGACGGCCAGGGTGATCCTAAGGGTACACCTTAGCATTCGGCTAAGGTTTACTGGGCTACGCCCCTTTATGATTTTATTTGCAACAAACCTGTGCAAGGTAGCCTTTCTCTTCCCATATTTCAGATGAAGATACTGAGGGCCAGAGAGCGGGAGTGAGTTGTCCAGCTAGAGCCAGGGCTGCAGCCCAGTTCTCTCTGCTTCCAGAGCTCCATGTCCAGGTGTGGGGCATGCCAGAGTTCCTGCAGGCTTGGGAGCGCATGCTGGGTCTGTCCAGCCGGAGTGGACATCTGCATACACTCCTCATGGGGGAAGAATGGTGCTGGAAGCTGAGGAGTTGGCTCTGCCGTCCCGGGGAGACCAGCTGCCCTAGATGGACAGAGCCAGGGAGAGCCCCTTGTGTGGTGCGGACCTGGAGCCTCCCTTGCCCAGGACTCAGCCAGTGGACGAGTCAGAAAAGGCTTAGCTCGTGCCTGCTTATTGAAGTCTAACTTCACCTGGGCATCTTTGAGCCAAAAGGTGAGCTGCTGCTCCGGTTGGGAGAAGCAGCTGGGAGCCTGTGCAAATGCCCAGCTTGCCTGGCAAAGTGGGTTTGTAAATTTCCACCCTGAGCGTTTGGGTGCCATGTTCTGGCAGAACCAGGTGACCCTGCCTTCCCCAGTAGGGTCATCTAGGGCCTTAATCTGCCAGGTGAGAGCCCAGGGTCCAGCAGAATGAGATGAAGGGCATGCTCTCTTCTCCAAATAGACTGAGAGGGGGGCCTTCTAAGGTGCTCTGTGTTTTGTGCCCCTGATTTTCTGCTTCTGCCTCTGATCTGGCTGTTTCCACATGGGAAGGAGGAGCAGAAGGTGTGGGAGCTGTATTGCCGGTGGGAGGCAGGTGTGAGGCCATGCCACTTCCCTGCATTCTCTTCCCTGCCACATACCTGGGCAGGCGGCCTCTTGACCCCCATTTCACAGATGAGCAAACCGAGGCTCAGAGAGGTAAAGACCATGCAAAAGGCCCCCTAGCTGATGTGCCATGCTGTCACCTCCAGGTCTGGCTGCTTGCAAACCCTGTGCTCTCAGCTGCTGGGTCCCGCCTCCTCTAAGACAGTTCTCTGCTGGGAGGGGGATGGGGTAGCTGGGTGATGGGTATTAAGGACGGCACGTGTTGTAATGAGCATGGGATGTTATACACAAATAATGAATCATGGAACACGACATCAAAAACTAATGATGTACTCTATGGTGACTAACATAATATTAAAAAAAAAAAAAAGTTCTCCGGGCAACCAGTAACTCCACGTCTGGCCCCGAACGTCACACCAAATGTGGTGTTGTCTGAGAGGGCTTCCAGGAAAATCCATCAGCAGAGTTAAGCCCAAGCCCCCATGTTCCCAACCCTATGCACCTGGGGAGGAGAAAGCAGGTGATTTTGATTTTTTCCGGAGTTTCTTATGACGTAGGAGTGGGAATAGTGACATTTATAGTCACACCAGGAGCTGAAGTTACCTGACGCTCAGAATGAGCCAGGTGCGCCCAGGATCTACACAGACACTCTCTCGGACTCCTTTAGGGGGTGGACCCTGGACCCTCTTCCTTTTTACAAGGAGGGGATTGAGTCTCGGAGTGATGAAGGCACGTAGGCGACATGACACAGCCAGGGTGCAGAGCGGCCCTCCAAGACGGGTCCCACCCCAGACTCTGGAAGAAGCTGTTTGCCCACTGGTCAGCTGCTTGCAGAACCGGCCGTGAGGTCAGGGCGTCTCCTGCTACGTGGGATCTGGATCCCTGCCCGACTTAGGGGTGGGCCTCGAGGGGATGACTTGACCCAGGGCTGGGACTCTACTTGGTGGACAGGTACCCGTGTCAACGTGCGGACAGCCTCGCTCTGGGACCCAGAGCAGCACCGGCTCCCAGAGCCCCTCCCTCTGAAGTGGAGAGGAGAGCTGGCTTGGCAGGGGAGGGCCCAGACCCTTGGCAGAAGCGCGAGAGGCCTCCGGAAGTCCCACACTTCATCCCTCCCTCCAAGACTCCTCGTTGGGTATCTGGCTTTTTGTAGGTTGCATTTGAAAACTGGCCTTTTAGAGGCGGGACTCTCAAATGCTGACTGACCCCTTTGGCCTTGTGGGAACTGGAACATTTCTCTGCACTGTCACCAGTGTTAATTTACTACGTATGGGAGGTGCCTCTGTGTCTGCTTGCTCCAGACCTAGGAGGCTTAGGAGGCCTTTTTTTTTTTTTTTTTTGTAAATTCACTGGTTTTTGATGAGTCCCAGATGTGCAAACCCAGCATCACTCAAAGAGGCTGATGGCTTGTCAAGAAGGGAAAATACAACACTGGCATCATTTCATTTTATCTTCAGTTAATGGAGCTGAGTAGCTGCTTAGCCCTTCTTGGGACGGGGACCCCGAGCCTCTCCTCAAGTCCTCGGTGAGGCACGCTGTGTTCTGGAACAAGAAGGGTAGGGCAGATCTGGGTGGTGGTTGGTGGTAGGACCGGCCATAACCTTTTTTCTTCTTTCTTTCCTTAAAAAAAGTATTTTCATGTGGTAAAATACACATAAGTACAAAATTTCCCATTTTAACCATTTTAAAGTGTAGGCTGCTGCGGCAATGAGCACGTTCCCAGCAGTGTGCCCCCACCACCCCTGTCTGGTTCCATCACCTCCAAGGGACACTCCATAGCACTATTACCTGTTCTCCCCTCCCCAGCCCCCGGCGACCACCAGTCTGCTTTCTCTAGATTCACTTATTCCGGAAATCTCATATACATGGAATGATGTGATACGCGGCTGTGGTGACTGTGTCTTGCGCTCAGTGTGATGCTCTCAGAGCCCATCCTCACTGTAGTGGTGTCGGTGCTGTTCCTTTTCGTGGCCGAGTAATATTCCTGTGCGGGACCGGACCACATTTCGTTGATCCGTCCTTCCAGCGACGGATGTCTGGGTTGTTTCCACCTTTTGGCTGTTGTGAACCACATTGCTGTGGACATGCGTGGACACGTCTTTGTTGGAACAGCTGTTTGCCGCTGTTTGGGGTCTGCACCTAGACGTGGAACTGCCAAGTCACACGGTCACTTGAGGGTTAACTTGTGGAGGAAATCGTGTTCTCCCTTCTTGGCTTCGTTCTTGAAGAAACACAGACTCAGCTCATCTCATTGTGGAATCGATCAAAGCCCTCCACGGTGAATGCAGGGAAATCTGGGTGCTCTGGGGGAGGTGTTGACAGTCCCCCCAGGGTCACGGCAGCAACTGGCAGAGAACCCCGTCTGAGGCATTATGCCTCAAACTGCATGGCTGTGGCTGTTTGTGGACAGCTGCCCCCCGCCCCCCCACCTTGTCAAGGCTGTGAGGACAGACGGTTTCTTGTGGTTCAGCCTCAGGGACATTTATCTTCTCTGATTGTCTCAAGTGCTGTGTCAGCTTAGACCAAAACCACAGGTTCCGGGGAAAAAGAAATTCATAAATGCGGATCATGCAACTTCTGGACCATCGTTTAAAAAATATTATAAATTGTGAAATCCCACATTTTCAACCCAGATTTCTGAACTGTGTCCCATTGTGAGGGCAGAAGGGCAGTATTCCAGCAGGAAAAAGAAGAGAGCTTCCATTTCATTCGCAGTCAAATGGTCCTGGAATGGAGCCTGTCCTAAAGTTCTTTCGGATTGGAAAAAACCCACTCTGATCTCTCCCGGCTTGGGAGCTGGATGGGAGGTGGATGGCACCTGCCAGGACCGACTTGGTGAGAGGCTGAGAAATCCTTCCAGAGCAGAGGCAAGGAAAGGTGCTAGAGAGCACCCCAAGCGGAGGGACCATGTGTGTACAAAGGTCCGGAGACGGGGAGGGGCCTGGCCCCCCTGAGGAAAATGACAAGGGGTTCCACACAGCTGGAGTCTGAGCATCAGACCCTGAGTGGTGAGGGTCTGCCCCGCGGGTGGGGCGAGTTTGGATTTTCTTTTATTTCTTTTTTAGGGAGAGTGAGTGGGTATGTGAGGAGGAGGGGGTTCAGGGGGCTCGGTGTAGAGGCAGAGGGAGTGACAGAATCCCAGGCAGGCTCTGTACCCGGTGCAGAGCCCGTCGCAGGGCTCCATCTCACGACCCTGAGATCATGACCTGAGCTGAAATCAAGAGTCAGACGCTTAACCAGTGGAGCCACCACGGCGCCCCGCGGGTCTGGATTTCCTGCCACGGGCTGTGGGGCTTACACTTGAGAACAGATTACTGTGAAATGAGCAGTGTTCCCCAAAGTGTGGGAAGCCATCCCCACTGGTCCCCGAGATGACCAAGCCTGGGCATGGATGCGGCCCCAAAGGTGCCTGATCAGGGGATGTCCTTCTAAGTCAAGGCGAATGCAGGTGGTGCTACCTGGGCCCAGCGCCTGTCCCACACCATGTTCCCCCTTTACAGCAAAGACAGAGCACCCTTGGCATAGAAGCCCGTGGCCGGCATCCGTGGCTGTCATCCGTGGCCGGCATCCGTGGCCAGCTGGCACGCTCTCACTTTGTTCTGTTTTCAATGTGTGAAGTTTTACTCCTGCCTTCCGTTCGAGGCAGAAGTGATCATGTCCTTTGCAAATGGTAATGACGGAAAATTACCTTTTCCAAGGCCATTTCTCTGCACCCTCAATGTGGGTCACCTATAA